AGATATCTGGTTAACTAATTGGAGAGACCCATATGTGTTCCCATTTGAAAGGAAGGTGATCAAAAAGAATGAGGACATTCTAGAACAATGTCATCAATACCACACACAAGTAAGCTTTTGCTAAAGATAGTTCAAAAATTCTTTTAGAGGTATATCAACAGGGAACTGCCAGGAAAAGGACAGCATTATTGAGAAGAGGATGTGGAATAAGGGTTATCATGACTGATTTCAGATGGATCTTGACTGAACACTGAAGCTATCAGAAAGATGTTTACCTGTGTTTTCTTAAATATTCAGTTACTTGACTATGTGAATAATAATAATTTATGGATCATAGACCATGAAGCAGTCATTCCAACACAACAAGGGGCTATTGGCTGATGGAAATTTTTAAAAGATAAGCATCAGGGTTGTATCCTTTCACCGCACTTGTTCAAAATGTTTGCTGAGCAAATAATCTGAGAAGCTGGAACAAATCTGAGAAGCTGAGCAAATAATCTGAGAAGCTAGTACCCCCCACAAAAAACCCGATTTTTTTCAAAAACTATGTATTAAAAACTTTTTTACAAAACAACCTTATCACCTTCAAAGTACTCTCCATTATACTTAATAAATTTGTCATATCTGTCATTCCATTTGGAAACATTTTTCAAGCTCATCTGTTTGGATGACTGACAGCACCTCCCTCGCTTTTTCTTCACCTGTTCTGTGCCATCAAATCATTGTCCTTTCACATCCCTCTTCATTCACAGAAACAAAAATAAGTCACACTGAGTGAGGTCAGGTGAGTAAAGTACATGGGGCAAGAGAGGCATGCTGTTTTTTGCCCCAAACTGGCACACTGAGATGGCTGAGTGAGCAGATGCAGTGTCGTGGTGGCAAAACCTGCCACAAATCAGGTCTTTTTTGTCACACATTGTTATACGGTCTTTTCAGAACCTCTAAATAGAAAGCTTGTTTAACAGTCTGACCTGGTGGAACGAGCTCTAAATGAACTATCTTCCTGGCATCAAAAAAGCAAATAAGCATTGTCTTCATCTTTGATTTCACTCGATGAGCTTTTTAAAAGCAAGATGATGATGATGTCTTCCACTAGCTTCATTGATGTTTGCTTTCAGGGTTGTAAGAAAAGCATCATGTCCTATCACCAGTAATGACTTGGGGGCGGGGGGGGGAGGGATCTGGGTCACTTTGGAGCTGTTCTTTAAAAGCAGGGCATGTTTCCACTCAGCACTCACAGGCACAAATTTCACAGCAACCCTTCTCATTGCCAAAGCTTTTGTTAAAATTCACTGACCTGATGTCCAAGATAGTCCAGATAACTTCCCCATCTCCTCAATGGTCCATGGTTGGTCTTTGAGCACAAGCTCATTAAATTTGTGAGCATTCTTGTCCATTCAGTAACTTGATGGATGTCCAGAATGAGGTTTATCATCAATAGACATTTCACCTTTTTTGAAACGTGAAACCCACTCATACACTTGAGTTTTCCCCATAGTGCTGTCCTTGTAAGCTGTGTTCAACATCATGTTGTTCTCTTAAATCAGTCATCACCAAAAAAAAAAAAAGACTTTTTGAGTGAAACTGCTTTAACAAAAAAATTCACTCTGACCAGAGAGAACCTTCCCAGGTGATACCACTGGGTGCCCTAACTCAGAGAGGGTTGCTTGATGTTCACCTAGCAGGAAAAATGTGTACTACGAAAGCTCCGCCCAGGGAGATTTTTTCCATTTTGGTTTGTTTGTTTGTTTGTTTGTTTGTTTGTTTGTTTGTTTGTTTTGGGGGTAGCCCCTCGTATAAAGAAGAGCACATCATCAGTATTAGAGGGAGAGTCATTAGCAACCTACAACAGAAAAAGGACACAATACTGCTTGCTGAAATCTAATAGGAATTGGAGCACTCAGTTATTAATTAAAAAAACTGTATAACCTTACTGTGGATTACACCCCAATGTAAAGAAAACAAAAGTCCTCAAGACTGGACCAATTCAGAAACATCATGAGAAAAGGAGAAAAGATAGAAGTTCTCAAGGATTTTACTTAGATCTGCAATCAATATTTATAGAAGCAGTAGTGAAGAAATCAACGGACATATTGCATTGGGCAAATCTGTGGCAAAAGACTTCCTTAACGTATTAAATAGCAAATAGGTCACTTTGTAGACTACAGTGCACCTAATCCAAGCTTGGTATCTCCAATCTCTCATATTTATGTGAAATTAATAAGGAAGACCAAAGAAGAATCAATGCCTTTGTATTATGGCGTTGGTGAAGAATATCCACCACATAATGTTCTGCCAGCATAATGAACATATCTACCTTGGATGAAGTATAAAAAATAAAAAAACTATGAGGATCCTTAAAATGAAAATGGTGAAACTTTATTTCATATACATGTCATCATCAGAACAGGCCCATCCCTAAAGAAGGTTATCATGTGAGGGAAAGAAAGGGGTCAGCCAAAAAGAGGAAGACTTTCACTGAGATAGACTGACAATGAGGGGCAGCAACAATGAGCTCAAACATAGAGAGGATTTTGAGGATGGCACAAGACCGCAAAATGTTTAGTTCTGCTGCACACAGGGTCACTGTGGTTCAGAACTGATTACAGGGCACCTATAGTAACAACAAAGTAATTTGGTGAGTTTCTTATTCCTCAATAGAATGATTATATGAATTATCATCCCAAACTGGCAAAAGTCTATGTACAAAAGGCGGTGCCATTCAAAAATATACTGAAACAGCAAGGGCAAAGCACCCGTCCATCTACTTCTCAGATTCTCTGGAGAGATTGTATGTCAAAAGTTTACTAGTTAACTACCAGTAACTTCTATTAAATGCAATATTTGTGGCTCAGTGAAGGGGATGAGATCTGTATGAAGCCGAAGGGGGGGACAGTTGGGTAATTCTTTCAAGCCAAATAGCTGGAGTTATTAATGTCTCTATGACTGTGCATGTTTAAACAAGTGAAAAAACAAAACAAAACCCATTACCATCGAGTCTATTAGGGTTCACAGTGCTTCTATGAAGGGTTTCTAAGACTAAGTCTGCATATCAGAGGCAGCCTCATTTTTCTCCCTTGGAGCAGTTAGTGGATTTGCACATGAACCTTGCAGTTAGCAGCCCAATGTCTAACACAAGTGCAAAGAGGCAGGGCGGGGAGGGTGGGGGAGGATACTGAGAAGTATAATTTGGCTCACATTCCTTGATAAAGAGAATCTATTTCCATACATGATAGCGGTTACTATAGTGTTGCCTTTTCAGTATTTGAAAATAATGCATCAGTAGTTATCTATTGCTGCATAACAAATTGCCCCCATAACATAGTGGCTTCCACAACAGACAAGTATCATGACAGAGTGTCTAAGGATCAGGAATCTAGGAAGGGCTTAACTGAGGGATTGTGGTTCCGGCTCCCTTATGAGGTTGCTGTGAGCTAGAATTGCAGTAGTCTGAAGACTTGCTGGGGCTGAGTGCTCCTTCCATGCCCACACACATGGTTACAGGCCTGCTTTCTGCCTTGATGTTAGCAAGAGGACTCAGTTCCTCGCCACTTGAACCTTTATATAGGACTGCGCACATCATGGCAGTAGATTTTCCCAGATCAAATGACCCAAGAAAGAGAAGGCAACCAAGATGGAAACTTCAGCATCTCTTATAATTTAAGCTTGCTCTTGATTGCCATCATTTCCGCTGTACTCTCTTGTTCATCCAGGACAGCTTTAGCACATATGCTACTCAATCATGTGAATGGTACTCTAGTGGTTTGACTGAGGATAATATTAGGAACTGGCTACCACACCATCATTCAACTTTGTAAAACTTTTTCTCACTATCTAATATCACAATTGAAGTCCCTGGCACACATATAACATGCTTCTTTGCTGACTGATAGATTGACAGTTCAAGTACACCTGAAGGGACATAAGATGAAAGCCCTATCAATATATGTCTAAAAATCAACCACCAAAGACCCTATGCACACAGTTCAACTGTAATAGACATGGGGATGTCATGAGTTGGAATCAACTTCATGGAAATTCATTTGATTTTAATTTATTTTATAAATACAGATGACATTTTAATTACAAAATACTAAGAAAGATATAGTATTGATATAAGGCCATTATAAGTGTGTGTATATATATGATTGGTGGTGTAGTGGTTATGCATTAGGCTGTGATCCTCATGGTCAACAATTTGAAACTACCATCAAATCCGAGGGGGAAATACTGGGCTTGCTACTCCTGAAAATAACTCAAGTTTTGGGAATCACTGGGGATCACTATGCATCAGCAATGACTCAAAGGCAGTGATATATATAGTTATAGGCAGAGACAGAGAGATGGATATATGAATACTACATTCTTGCTATCTAACTTCATCAAGAATATTTTATACAGCTTTTTATCTTAGTTACTATTTTTATCTCTACCATGTAGGATAAATTTTATCTCTGTCCTTGATAACTACATCTCTAGTAACTAGAGCAGAGGTTGATATAAAATAGAAGACAAATAAATATTTGCTAGATAAACGAATGATGAAAAGTCTCATTTGGAATATCAATAAGGAGCAGATCAAAGCTTGGGAAAAATGATTTTAGTGTAAATTTTTCTGACTTGAAAAAATCAACCTCCTTAGAAATAATGTTCATAATATTTTGTCTTAAAAGGCAACTTTGATTAATTATAAGTGTACTCTTGAGAATAACAATCTTAAAGTAAAAAAACATATTTTCCCCTCCTCATTGGCTGAATCCCATGTCATTTCATTACACAAGGTGCAACTAAGTAAGGGTTTAAACTCTTCCTCTGGGCCACAGAGCTGAGTTCCCTCCCCTTTTTGTTCTCACTGGTCTTTAACACCTGGGATCGTTCAACTCCAAAACAGAAATGCTGAGTCCACGGCAACCCAGGACTCCCCAGAATATTCTATTCTCCCTCCCTTCCACACCCCACCACTTCCAGGAAAAGCTTCGTGAGCTGCCCACTAGACTTACCTGAAATCTTTTCCATCATGATCCAAATAACATACAGTGGACTGAATGGACGTGAACTCAGCATTTCCCTGGCAGTTTGTTGCTGAATAATTCTTCTTCCTGAAAAGAGGCTTGGTAAATACGAGTTTTAATATAACTTGGGAAAAAGTGCCTACTAAAATGGAAACTTGCCAGTTCTTAATTCTGACACACTTGTTTCATGCAACAGGTATACTTCTTTAAAAAGTGAAAAAAAGGAATTAATTTTAAAACGCACACATACACACACCATTAATTTAAATTCACTAGAGAGTTAGCTATTTAGAGGAACCCTGTTGTAAGTCCTCTGACAAACTGAAGAACATTTAAGTAATAACCCTCTAATTTATGTGCTCTGTAAGGTCAACTATTTAAATGGCTGGCTTTCTTAATTTGAGGCACACCCGTATTTATAGAACCTCTTTAAAACTTATTATGGCTGACAAATGTATTTCCTTCTCTTCTTAACAAGCTAAAAAATATTTTGGTGAAATAGGCAGAAGATACCAATTATTCTGGCAACTGTTGGTGCACTTGCTTATAGTAAAGATGATTTCTGTTGAGTGAATCCAGACTAGATATGCTCCAGAACCAACATGTCTTTTCAAACCTTTTTCTCAGCACATACATTTTAAGTCCCTATAATTTCTATTCAACCTTTAAATCCCTGCAATTTGTATTCAACCTACGAACAATTCACTTGGTGGTTAACCATAATGTGTTTTTGTGTCTCAGTAAACTTAATAGAATGTGGCTGTCAATAGTATAAGTTAACACATTTGAAATATATGAAAACACCTTAATACTGCCTCATCACTTAATGTGCATATGTATATATATA